CACATGCATATGAATATAAAAATGGTACCTATCCCAAAATATTATTCTTAAAATTTTTTGTCTATCTGTCTGTATGTTCCGGCTAATCTCTGATATGGCTGGATCAATTTTGACGGGTCTTTTGTTGGCAGGCTATTTTTATTTTAGAAAAAATCTTATATTTTATAAAAATAAAGTTAACACGCGTACAGTTAACGCGGGTACAGCTAGTCATCCATAAAAAAACAGTTACTCAGAGTATGGACACGTACTTACGCACACAGCTGAATTTACTATATATATTTAACTAAATTCAATATTATCGAAATCACCGTTTAGGTAAGTCCTTGGAGTGGTTTATGTGTTTTACTAATACGACTTTCCAAATATTATACCCTAATACTTAGTGCGTGAGGAATTTCTGTCACATAGTAACCCTACTCATAGAAAATACATCCTTAGGTATTTTCTAAACATAATCATGACTTGTCATTCAAGATTAAGATGTTATTTATGCACTATTTTTATTAGAAATATATCTATTTAAGTATCTACACATTACCTACTTATATTATAGTAGGTAATGTACTTCTTGTGAAAAATGATATTTTTCTTCCAATATCCTGGTTTATATTCCACGTCATTAACTTTTTGTTAACTTATATTTACCCAAGCACAGTACTACCTAATTTAACTTTCATAGTATATGATGGTATATGGTGTTTATTGATACAGAGCAACATATGATACCTTTTAAAACTTGGGTTTAGGTGAGTATAAATATGACAATTTCAACCGCTGCGGATAATAACTTTACAAACACTTTTACACTCAGGGGTTTAGTGTTTGGAAATAGCACATCTTAGACCGATGCGACGGATTTCCAGGAGACAGTTAGAGGGACAGACAGAAAAAAAAGATATTTCGTGAACAAAACACGCAGTGGGTGATAGTGTGTAACATTATGTTATGTGTGGTGATAGGTAACCTACATCGATGTGTAGATAGGTTTATTTTCCATTATATAGTTCCAGTAGTGTTCTTTTTATAGTATATACTATTTGAAGTTAGTCCGAAATGTTTCAGAACCATAATTATCTTACGTTTAAATACAATTTCAATTTTGGTCATTACTTGAATATGCCTAATGAGTTCACGTATTAGGAATTTTTTTTTCTAGTGCTAGGCATTATACATTAGCTACGTGAATTACTAGTATCTACACAGATATTTCTGTAAGTATTAAAATACAATAATATAGGTATTTGTGATGGCATCATTGTGTATGGTCAAAGAAAGAGGATGTCACGATAATGCGTAAATACCGATTACTTGCAATGTGCGTTCATGTAGGTACTTACTTTGCATCAATGCAGCCAGGATGTCGATTTCAATTTGACTAAGTACATCCTGCTTTCTCAAGATTCTTGATGTGGCGAGGGTTATTTTTTACAATTCGCCGTAATGCATCGTTTATATCAATAAAAGGATTGTAAAGAAGTAAGTACTCAATTGTCGAATCAATTCAGAGCACACATCAAGAAGGGTTAAATAGGTATTTAAACTTTCTTCATGTGTATGTATCCTATTGTATAATACATATTGTTTTTCGAATTTGCTTCCACAAATACTGCAAGGATAAAATATTTTTTAGTTTATATTTGTGCAACGGAATTGAAATATTTACACTTAAAAAAAATAAGAAAAAGATTAGATATATCCTAGAGGGAATCAGGTTGACCTGCACGCGGTTCCTCTGGAAACCATCGCGGCTTATTTCTGGCCAAATTATTATAATGCATTAACCGACTGGATCATTATTTATTTGCCTTTTAGGCAATACTATTTATTTATACACATATATATACACATATATATACATATTTACGTTATTACAATTTAAGGAATATTGGTAATTTATATCTCACACATATCTACGTAAGATACATAAGATTTTAGATAAGTTACCCGCTAATTTTACAGTCATAAAAACTGTAAATTTGTTATTAGAGTACAGATTTTAATATTCAGAAAATTTACTAAAATTATATAATCATAGTTAATTATTGTACTTAGCTTCTGTCAATGTTATCTCAGATAGGATAGATTTTTTAAAAGATGTATGAAATAAATCAAAATTAGAGTATTACTTTGTACATCCAACTGCTTTAATATAAATTTGCAGGTCCAAATGACATGGTGTATTATTAGCAATGATGCCATTAGTGCCAATTAACGCTTAAAAAATCGTAATTTTTTTACATAAATGTCTTCCTAAAGTATATAAAAATGTAAAAATTCGTAATATTTTCGGAGTTACAGAAAAATAGTGAGCAAGCGTCGCAAGCAGGTAGGTATCGAGCGCCCGGATTGCTCGGATCTCGCGTGTTCAATGAAGGCTAGAGCATTGAAAACCATGCAGTTACTAGATTTGAAAATTGGACAGCAATGCAACAATTTCGTCAAGAGTGCCGACAAGGAGCGCATCACCCAACAAAACAGGAGCATTTCATTTTCAAGTAAAGAGGACAGAACAGCCCGCAGACTCGAACATCTGGCCGAAAACTAGTTTTTTGAAGAGTCTGAAGGGCAGCTCTATGGACTAGGAATCGCTGATTAGCATATTAATGCGGTAAGTTCAAGAAAATGACAATTTATTATATATATATGAAAACTTTGATGCGCGATTTCTCGGTTTTTCATTTTTATAATTTTTCCTAATTGACGTAATTGGCGTACATTATATGACGCTCTGACGACACAAATTTTGGCACTCGAATCTATGGGAGTAACCTAGGAGAAGTACTCATCTTTTTTATTACCATTGGTGGAATCCTCATTACCTGAAGATATATTGAAAGCTTGGAATAGGTCACATATTAATGAACGAAATAATGAAAATATTAGTCCATTATTCAGGCTTTTTGTCAAGTCGGAGGTTGAATCTGATGAAAGGATACGTTTGTCTCGTTTTAAAACATCTAATAATTATATGGGACAGGATATTTCTATGTCTTCTGCTGCATGTATATATTATGAATTAGATGAATTGGCAGAAATTTTCTTCTTTATCCCTCACTCAAAAAATTGAGTGGCGCTTTTCGCCACCCTCTGCGCCGTGGTGGGGAGGGTTCTGGGAGAGAATGGTGAGAACTGTCAAAGAAATTTTACGTAGAATGCTAGGAAAAATGCTGATTTTGTGTGAAGAGAGTATGGTTAATTCGAGACCATTGACTTATATAAAGGAAAGTTCAGACAATTTGAGAACTTTGACACCCGCAATGTTTCTGAAGCTAGATATGGAGGAAGATGAAACCAATGATTTGAGTCACATAGATGGCAATATTTTGACGTCTCGTTGGCGATATTTAAAAAAGTTAAGCAGTGACTTAAAGCAACGGTTTCGGAATCATTACTTGTCTCTTTTGATTCAAAGAGAACAGAAACATCGGAATCAAGTACATAAAGTCGGTGATGTACTTTTGGTGGGTTGTGATAATACCAAACGTCTATATTGGCCATTAGGTTTAATTGTAGAAATTTATCCAGGTCCTGATGGTAGTTGTAGAGTAGCTAAAGTTAAAACGACTATGGGTTATCGTATAAGGCCTGTTCAACGGTTGTATGCATTAGAAGTTAGTTTAGGAGATTTTACGGACACTAAGAGCAATACACACTGTGTCGAGACTGATAAAATGTCCGAGTCGTTACATCAAATTACACGCACTGGTCGTGTCGTAAAAATACCTTACCGCCTAAACTTATAGGTTATTTTATGTTTGTGATTTTAAAAGTAATGTGAAATTTATTCTGTTTGTCTGTCTTGCGATATAGTCGCAAGGGGCAGAGTATGTTGAGGTTTTATGTACAATTCTTTTTTATGTCAATATTTTAAAAAGAGAGAATGTCGTATTTTTTGTGTCAATTATATATTTAGAAATTTTTGCAATAAACATATTTTTCTATTCAGCTTTTCTATTAGTATTTTCTTTTCCTAAAAACGAGCTGTCCACAATATGTCATTATTTTTAAGAAAAAAAAATTGAGAAGACTGTTAAAATATATTACAATAAACCCTGAAAGTTTCGTTTGAATCGAATATTTCTTTCCTTTGCAAAATAATCCTCGAAAAAATCGAATTTTTGAAACCTCTAAAGCAGGCTCCTTTAGAGGTCTTGGGTACAAAAATACTACTTTAGAAGGGGCATTGTTAGTGTAATGGGGATTAGTAAAACCATTTTGTGCAATATATCAGCTTAGGTTAACGTACACGCTGTTCCCCTTGAAAACCATCATGGTTAATCCCAGATTTGCCATGGTTGGTCTAACTGACCTGAATACCTGAAATCATGCTAATTCTTGTCCTTCAGTGTATAGTGCAGTCTAGAGCGCATTCCTTGATTATACTTTAGGAGAGGAAAATAGAAATGTTGAGGAATGTCGATGTATGTAACAAAAATCATATCTATATCGACATTAAAGTAACGAAAAATAGAGACTTTATTTGTAAAAAGCATCATTATCATTTTAGGTCGAAAGACGTCCTGACGACGTATGTAAGAAACGTACATGCGTTAAATCTGTGTTGTGTTTGTTACGTCGTATTCCAGTTACGTAGTTTATTAAACTATCATGTACGAAATTGAATGTCAATGTCAAGATAGATGATAATTCGTGAGGTATATTTTGCTCAGTGACATTTCGCTTTACTGTCAAATTATGAAATTTCTGAATTATTATGATTTTAAATTTAATTTTATTATTTCTTATAATAATTTATAGTCACAGCTAAAATAAATAAATATTATTATTTGGTACCTTGCATGATTCTAGCAATAGCCCAATTTATTGAGCGATATGGTGCAAATAAATATATACTCATGACTGATAAATGGTTATTAATACGTGTATTGTGAATTGTAATTGCTTTATTATGCTATGCTCTCATGACTGATAAATGGTTATTAATACGTGTATTGTGAATTGTAATTGCTTTATTATGCTATGCTCTTTTGCAATCACTAGTTGTACAAATATAAATAATTATTTATTTTACGTATATGTTGACTATTAAATTTTGTTATAATAATTATCTACAGTTATCAAGATTATAAGCGAGAAATTATAATATTATTATAAAAAAATTCTAAAAATCTTTTCTTTATAAAATGTTCATACAAAAGTCAAGTAATCATATTTTTTCGCTTGTGAAATATCATTGGAAACGTTGTAATCAATGTGTCAAATTATACACTTCACAAGTTGACTACAAATCATTACATAATGATGGACCGTGGCATGCATATACAGAGAAAGTTGCAAATGGAACATTGAGTAAGGATCCTTACCAGGAAAAAATAATGCTGCAGCTACAAGAAATATATCAGCAAGTGACAGTGTTTGAAAGACCTACACTAGCACAAGGTCGTGGCAGTCATTCAATATTTAGGTTTTTTAAAAAAAGTGAACCTGAAAGAATAATTGCTCCTAAGGGTCTTTACATTTTTGGAAGTGTTGGTGGAGGAAAAACCATGTTAATGGATTTATTTTATGAATCTCTGCCAGTAAGATATGATAGATATACATAGTAGTCATTACTACATTTTACTATTATTATTAGCAAGATTAGCGCAGTTAACTAAATAGTGATAGGGAAATTTAGAATAGAAAGTTGCTATTGAAAATTAATGTTGCTATTAAAATATATATAAATTTATAGAAAAATTTGCAAAGAATAAATATCTTCATATTTAAACAAATATTTTTTACTGATAACAATTTTTGTTCAAGTATTATTTAATTTCAGATCAAAGAAAAATTGCGAGTCCATTTCAATTCATTCATGTTGAACATTCATGCTCGTATACATGAGCTCAAAATAAAATCTGGTAAAGGTGCAAGTTCATTTCGGGATGAGGGGTCAAAACCCTTTGACCCAATACCACCAGTAGCTGCTGATATTACACAGGAATCTTGGCTTATATGTTTTGACGAATTTCAAGTAAATATACTGAATAGTACATGAATTATTACTTTTTAATAGATTGCCATATGATAGTTTTGTTTTTATGAATGGGAGTTAATACAATACTATTAACTCCCATTCATAAAAACAAAACAAAAAAAACCAAAACAGCTGTTTGTGCAGTGTTTTTATATAGATAATTTTAATATTAGCATAGATAATTTATATAAATTTTACTTTTAATATAGATAATAGATATTATTAAAACAATTTTTTCTATGTATTGTAGGTAACAGACATTGGCGATGCTATGATCTTAAAACGGCTCTTTACTCAGTTGTTTGACAATGGCTGTGTAGTGATTGCCACTAGTAACAGGAAGCCAGATGACTTATACAAAAATGGTTTACAGAGGTCTAATTTTCTACCATTCATACCAGTGTTAAAATCTCATTGTGATGTCATGCAGCTAGACTCAGGAATTGATTATAGATTGCGAGGAAGTGGCAATAAGTATAGCAAATATTTTATGTAAGTATCTTTTACTGAACATCCAAAATGAGTATTGAGAACCTATTGTTGACTTATTTATTCATAGAAATTTACATTATAACTAATGGTAATGACTACTATTAAATATTTTCAGAAATAGTGAATTAACAGAGAAAAACAATGATGTAGATAATTTATTCAAATTTCTTGTCTCAAAGGAGACAGATACAGTGCGACCTAGAATTATAAATATTATGGGAAGGAATGTTAAGTTTGCCAAGTCTTGTGGACGAATATTGGATTCAACTTTTGAGGAACTATGTGATAGAGTAAGTTCTACCAAAATTTAGTAAAATATATGAAAATGTTCATTTATTGAAAGCCTAACAATAATAATGAAATTTCAGCCTCTTGGTGCCAGTGATTATCTTGTTATTTCAAAAACATTCCATACAGTGTTTATAAGGAACTTGCCTCAAATATCCATAATAAAACATAGATCCCAACTGCGAAGATTTATTACTCTTATAGATACACTTTATGATAACAGAGTAAGGGTAAGTGGTAGATAATAATATTGTTTAATTATTTACTTCACAGTGTCATGTATTATTTGGAAGTAATAAAAGATTGTTTAATCTATCTCAGATTTTGTGGTTCACCCTTGTAATTATGTGTACAGAATTTAGAACTGAGGCTTCATTTCTAGTCAAAGATTAATTTTGATATTCCTTTTACTACTTTCTTGTTATTGTTTTTAGCTTGGTGAAGGTAACTTTTAATTAGACAAACTACCTCTATGATAAGTTAACAAGGTTTAATTAATAATTTTTTATTTTTATTTCAGGTAGTAATATCGGCAGATTGTGAGCCTAAGAATTTGATGAAAGTAAATGAGGAAAAAGAAGTGGGAGATGCTGATAGAGCTCTTATGGATGATTTGAAGATCACTAAAGACTCTGTGAGTAAAATGTGAACAAAATATATAGTGTATGAACACAATTTTTTAACAATATTGATGAAGCAGAAATAAATATTATTTATAGTTGCAAATAAATGATAATATAGTTTAGAAACGTCATATCTTACTAAGGAACTATTTTTCTTTTTCAAATTATTTTATAAAAACATGACACCAACTTTTCGATAAAATAAAAGTGGGTTGGTAACGCCTTTTCTATATGTCTAATTTTATTGTTTGGCATTACAATGTTAGATTAAATCGATTTACTTAATAATGGCAATTTATTGAAAATAATTCATTCATTCATTCATAATTTAAGGGCTACGCTCTTGTCGGTGGAGCTCTTGCCACTTTCCGCGATCTTCCATCATGCTCTTTAATTCTTGATACGACACGACTCCCATTTTGTCCTCAATTTGTTTGATGTAGCTATTCCTTGGTCTTCCCCTCCCCCTCTTTCCTTCTATTTTCCCCTCAATAATAATTTTCATGAAATCATCGTGCCGTATCAAGTGTCCTAACATTGTTCCTCGTCTATTTTCTATTGTGTTCAAAAATATAATATAATATAATTATTGAAAATAATATAAGTAGGTAAAAGTAGCAGAATACAACATACATAATTCCTGTTTCATTATTACAATACTAGCTCCGCGTCCGCAGTTTCCCCAGCGTTAAATTTCAATAAAAATATAGCCTATGTCTTAGGGTATATTAGTTAAGTTTATTCAAATTAAAAAAAAACGAATATCAGTAAAAATTTAAAATATAAATAAACTGCGTCGTCTTAGACGTCATAAAAGTAAGCACACAGACGGTGCCTATATAATAATATGTCATCTCAGCACATATTATGTTACACAGCTAAACATTAATATTGAAGGTAGTATTTGGTGAGACGATATAAGTAAAAACAAAATTGCAACAGTTATGTGAGCTTAGTACTTCGTTTGTTTTCAGGAAGATGCAAAAGCTGCTATATTCACGGGCGAAGAAGAAATGTTTGCTTGTGATCGGTGTTTATCTAGAATAATGGAAATGCAAACCGAAGAATATTGGGAAAAATGGGGAAAGCATATAAATTAATTGATGAAGTTTCTATAGTCAATACTAGGTAGATAAATATTAGGTATGATAATTATCAATGGTTATAATCGAAAAAATTGTAAATATCTGCTAGTACTTTGTTTTCGGGGTACAACCACATAAGTAATTTTTCGTTACTAACTAGTTACCAAGTTTTGTCAGTTATGTATATATAAATTTTATATATTGATGTTACGTTGTGCCTTATTGAAGTACAATCAGTATTAGTGTTTATTTGTTTAAGTAATTATTTTGTGCTATCATTTGTGTTTATACCGAAGTCTAATCCTCAAGCCTATACTAAATAGAAAATATGTTTTAAGTGTATGTTAAATATTTTTTTCTGATTTGCATACACATATATCAAATTGAAGCCTAATAATGTTAATTGAATCAACTTCTTCGGTGTACCTTTAATGTTTGTATAGTGATAAAGTAAAGAGATTGTTATTTTGTTATTTATTTATTTAAAACCTTTTGAGTGAAATAAATGTTATTATTATCAAATGTGGTTTGAATTAAATCTGCAATAAGACGGATTAATTATAAAATAAACAGATCAAATTTATGGCATCTAGAATACTATTACTTTTACGTCGAAATACTAATTTTCGAGAATATATATTTAAACGGTCTGTGTGAGATAGTATATTCTTTTGATTTATATGTATGTAATAAACCAACGTTTATTATTAACCTATTACACTGTTCTTTTTTTACTTTTCAATAACTACCACCTCAACTACAAAATCTGTTCCAAAACACTTACCTATTTTTATAAACTCTATAAATGTCCTAAATAAAATTTAGTTATTTATTGAAAGAATTGTATTGGATATGCAATAACATTATATTCATAATGAAAGGGTTGTAAATGACAATTTTAATCATACATATGGCTGTAATAGTCTTGATAGACCTGTATGTAAGTTTCTTTTTCTGAAGGCGTCATTTGTGCGATGGTGGTGTCGTCTATTTTTGTAAGGGGTACCGCTTTACCGTTCACTAATACTGTTGGCGCGTTGTCCTCAGAATCAGAATCGTCGCTTTCCATTTCAGCTGTAATAGATAGAAGTTGAAATCATGAATATGAGCCGAGCGCATCGAACTAAAACATTTGTATATTAAAAACTGCACTTTACCGTGATTTTATATAACGCTAAATGCAAGATTAGGCTTCTTATCCTAAATCAATAATTTTGGATAACATCGATGGCCTAGATGGTCTAATGATTTAGCACATCGCCTTATATCGGATTGTCGATTGGGTTCGATTCCTTGCATGGTACAAACATTTGTATTCATAAGTATGATTGTTTTTATCGGTCTGGGTGTTTTCACCGTATATTATGTATATTTAAAAAAAATGTATCAATATATTTTTATCAATTATTACTATTGTTATTTTGTTTGTAAACCCTAACTAGCTACTAAAAAAGTTGGCATGTTGGTTATGGGTCAATTTCAATTCAGTCCATCACAAATTACGTGTAATAAAGTCCATGGAATTATATATTTTTAAAATTAATATTAAACCGCAATTTCACTGATAAATACAAATATCACATTATATTGTAACTGACAATTATATATATGGAAATACTAATAAAGTTACTATAATATTAACAGCGGAAAATAAATAAATTTATTTTCTAAGAAACTATTACTTATCTATTTATTACGTACCAACTGCAGCCAACTCGTCTTTGAGTTTGAATGGATCTTTTGACTCATCGTCACTGGAGTCTGAACTTTCGGGTTCTATTCCTTTCAACGCACTTGCAGCTGTACCACCTATAAATGAAATATAATAAGATACTAAATATTACATTAATTTAATAGCGGTGGTTTAACGGTTTTGCACATCTCATTATGTCCGGCAGGCACGAATTCGATTTCTCGAGCAGAATACAAATTTCAAAAAATTTCGATAATTGAATTCAAGAAATTGTGTTGCTCTTTTTTTATGTGTACTATTATATATATGTATTAAAAATAAAGTATTTAAGTATTTCTATAAGTTGCTTAGTACCCATAACTCATATAAACCTTTAACAAAAGGTAACTATGTATTAAAATTAATACCTGTATTTTGTTTTTCATGAGCAAGCAGAACAGACATAATATCGTCGTTCTTTTCTTTTCCTGACGTTTTGGTATTACTTGCATTACTTGCTGCTTTTTCGAGGGCGGCATCTGTGGAATGTGCACTGTCGCCCTAAAAAAATATGTCTTATTACATAAATAGGCTAAGTACCTACTTATTTTCTTTGATAAGTGATAACGTTGTGGTCAATAGTGATTTAACATTGGAATCGACAGTACTGAACACATTAATACTGCGAGTGTAACCTAATGGAGGTTTGTTAACATTTTAGATTCTGTATTTGTATTAAATATACTAGCATTTAAACGAAGAGCACTGCCGCGTAGATGGTTGTTGGATGGATGATTGATATTCGTCGTTCGTCGGCACACATTACACATATGTAAATACGACGTAACGGGCGCCTATATTCGGCACTTGAGATCTCAGCAGTTAAAGTGTTAATTACTTGGTCATTGGTGACGATTGTGCTCTCCACCATCCAAACGGGGCGTTCCTTCCTGTGCGCAAAGGCATCATTGGAGTTGTCTGTCTCGCCGATAGTGACGTCGACACGCGTCTCTTCCACGGCGAGCCCTTGGTTACGAGTCGCTTCACCCGACCATTGTTCGCCGGGTGGCCGGGCCAGTGGCTGTTTCATAGTTAATCTGAAATGTAGTTTATACATTACAGACATCAAATATATACAAATTGGGGGTGGACACTAAACTATAAATCTATTTACTTTTATTTAGTACAGATACTAAATATAAGTCAATAGACTAATTTATTCATTGCATTGCTGAAAAAAGATGAGAATTGTTAGTTACTATTTTAATATAATAAGTTCAGTAGGTTTGTAGGCACAAATGGGATGAAGAGGCATGCTAATTATATTATTTTTAACGGTTGCTATTGAAATGTGAATTACCCTCTGATTGTGTTAATATCCACTGGTTCAGGCTCCAGTATTTCTGGGGCCAATTTGATTCCTTCCACTTCACGTAACAACACGTATAAAGTTTCCAATTGTTCGTTAAATTTAGCTAATAGTAACCGACAGTCCTTTTTTGGCAGCGCAGACTGGTCTTCCTCTACAACTTGGTTACAAAATGTACATCGAAACTCTTGAGTCATCATGTCATATAACTGGTCCGCCTGCAAGGATAATTAATAGAGTATATGGGGTAGAGGATTTTTAGTAAGTTGCTAGCAACGTACAATACTACGTCGACCTCCTAGAAAACATCGTTATTTCCTTGAAATTTACCACCAGAATATACCATAAGTCATTCATATTCTTCCGTTTAAAAAAGATACAGTAAATAAAATATTATTTTCAAATACTCACTTCTAGATCTGTGAATGTTTTCCCGCAGGCAGGACATTTAAAACTGGCACGGCTGGTGGCGTCACGCTCTTCTGTTTCCATGCGCTTGCGCATAAGGTCTAATTTGTACTTGACCACATTCACAAATGTTTTATAATTTATGAAATAATAATTAACCTTTTGTGCTTTCCCATCAGGTCCTAAAGATAAATTTATACTCTACTGCATTATTTAATATCTAGGTAAATAAATAGTTAAATTGAAGCTTTGTTATTAAGTATAATTTAATGTTACCTGTTTCCATTTTTAGTCTAACTTGAATGAACTTATCATTTTTTAAGGTTGCTATTCGAGCACGTAACATCTTCCTTTCAAATTTTAAAAGTTCACATATATCGTCTTCTTTCATACCTGTGGAATTAATATTTCTTTACAGAACTATTTGTTATTGGAATATCTGCGTGACCGATACTTATTGCCCAGGATAGCACATTCCTTTTCACTCTTCATTGCAAGTACTTAGGTACGCCAAATTGTATGACGACTGTGCTGCCGCATATCTTTTCTTTTATATTATTTCAACAAGTGTCTATAGGTACTATTGTAGTTAGGTACTTAATAAGAATAAGTAAAAAGTTAGAGACAAACATAATTTAGAATTTAAATATCCAGTTCACATCTAGTAAACGTCAATACATACATACTAATTAGTGCTGTGTGAGAATTAAACCGGCTATCATATTATATCATTTATATGTAGGTAGATAATTGCAGACGCTCGTCATACTTACAGGGGTTTCTTACCAGCATATCGACAATGAGAGCGTCTTCTATTGTATAAAAGCCACGCACTACAAGTCTTGCAAGTTGTTTCAAACTACTGGGCACCTCCGTGACCAGACGTTCTTCCGTCATAATAGGTATCTATCTGAAATTTTTGAGTTACGTACTTTCGTGTGTAGGTTTACGATAACGGATTTAGAAATTTAAAAAATTTTCGAATGATTTACAACACTATAAAATACTGCAAGGTAGGAGTAAATCTCTAGATTTAGTCGTAAGTTATAGCGTCTCTAAAAGTATTTATATCTCAAAGGATGTTTTGACCCTTATTTTTGGAAAATTACAGAAACAGCCTTCCTAAATTTAGTTACTATTCTTTGGTACCCTCAATGTACCAGTTATACTTGAACTTGTTCGGTTTGACTTGTAAAAGGTGTTGAAGTTAATTATATAAAATTATTATTAAATCAAAGTGGGTTATTTTTGTTCGATCTATTTAATTATAACGACAATTATTAAAAAATATATAAATTCATTGTGAGTTTTGTACGGTCAACAACAAAAGAATTAAATACACAGTTCATGAAACATTACAGTAGAAATGCAAAGTAGGTACCATTACATTTAGATGCTAAAATAGATTCGAATCTATTTTTATCGCCAACCGTACTTGCCAGATACACATTCAATACCTTTTTAAAATAATAAAGTTGCCTCTAACATTTGATAGGAACATTAGCAAAAAAAAACTATAAGTAAAAATACGAGTAAAATTACAGGGTTCTACAAAACGAATCATGTTATTTTTTCTAAAATAAATATATATGCATTTTCTATACAAACGCAAATGATTTCGAGTATTGGAACAATAGGCTTGTTATGAAATTAATGTAATATGTTTTTTTCCACTGGAATATTTTGTCCACCAGTTTCAAGAACAATTAAATAGTATTTCTGAATAATTGCTAAAAGTTGCCAATCAAACATATATTCACATTTAGTAGAGCATTGTATCTTAATATAAATTACTATCTTATATTTTTTCAAATATACCTGTACAAAGAAAAAAAATGCACATATTTTTTAATGAGTAATTTGGCATAACAGAATCTTAAATTAATTGTTGTCAATATAAAATATATAATAAAAAACTGGTCTACAGTTTTTTACCTAATTAATTGCTTTCACCCACACCATGCTACAGCGCACACAGTATAAATGTGTTAATCGTCATACAATATTATTAGAGCTATTCTATCTAATAAAGATAATGACGTTATGAAATCTTATAATACAGACATACTATTAATTTGTTTTAAGTACATATATTATTACATCTATAGGCTTTATAAAAATAGCTTTATTAATATTGTACATACTCAGTAGGTACATTAGTATGCAAAGGCTAACCTTGGTATTTTTTATGAAAATATTGTGTATTAATAATTTAAAATTAAATATCAATTTAAATAAAATTCTACAAATAATCTGCTCATTTATAATATAATAATAATAGTCATCCCCATAAATGTAGTGATAATTTTAATAAATTAATGTCATTTCTTATATTAAATTGAAATTTGTGGTGGCCTGTGAGCTTAATAAATACTTAATTTTAACATAAAATCAGTCTTTATAAGGATTTGTATATTAGATTACGAAAAAAGAATAATAATAGACATCATATGACAATGTCATAACCACTAAATCAGCACTTATGAAAAATGTTACCTTAAACAATTTAAAACAATATTAAGTACTATAAAATATATTAGTACAGTGACACATATTCATATAAAATATGAGCACATTCATAAATATTAAATCATATTATTGTTATGATTGTGACGAAAGAAATATACAAGCCTTGCTATGACCTTCAATAGATTATTTTGACAACTATTATTGTATCAGACAGACTTTTGTCTAGTTACAAAATTGACAAAGTATTTAGATAATAAATGTACTTGCTAAATTATGTTGTTATTTAAATGATAAACTTATTTACAAGGTTAAGGTATGTAAGAGTTAACAAACTGAGTCATATTCTTATTAGTAATAAATATTGCCAAAATAACTATTGTAACAAGTAAAATATGTGTTCAGGTGATTACCCGAAATGACAATATTGTATGTATAAAGAGATAAGATGTCTTCATGTTTTAAATATATATAGTACTTAAGCATTTCATTTGTTAACTCTTATAATACCATGAATTCTTGAAATTATCTATACATTTTACCAATAATATATTACAAGTGTAAATTACACAACTTATATTACTTATTTACTTAACATACACAATAATGAAAATTATAATTTATAATGAAATGATAAATATGTCCATAAATAGGGCAAGAAAGTTATTTTCATTTATAACACTGGCAGGCAAAAATTTTAAATATTGTACAAAACTAAATTCTTAAATTTTAGAATAAAACACTGACATTACTCTATACGAGTTCTTTCCAAAATTAGTTGTACATTATCCAATGTTTGATATATGATCCTAAAGTTTGGCCGATCACTTGGATTGTGGTTCCAACACTGTTTCATTAAATCATACACACAGCGCGGTGTATTATCAGGGCAAGCCAGTACATTGCCATCTTTTAAAAATCTAACAACTTCTTCATGGGTCATACCAAAGTATGGTTGTAAAGCAAATGAAAATATTTCCCAAAGGCACACACCATATGCCCACACATCAGATTCCAAGGTATATTTATTATAAAGTATACTTTCTAAAGGCATCCACCGCACAGGTATTGCATCATGTTCATCACCTTTATAGTAATCTTGGAGATAAATTTTATGTGATAATCCAAAATCAGCAATTTTGACTACCATGTCATCATTAATTAAACAATTTCTAGTAGCTAAATCACGATGTACAAATTTTCTGTCTGACAGATATACCATACCAGATGCAATCTGCCTAGCTATATGTAAGAGATCTAAATGATTCAAAGGAGTAGCAAGCAACCGTAAATCTTCCCTATTTTCGACGGCTGGTGGAAAATTAGTGGCAGTACTGCATGCCCTTAAATACTCATTTAAGTCACCTTTGCCCATATATTCAAACAGTAAGCACATTGGTCTCCCAATAGCACAAACACCTAATAATTTTACTATATTTGGATGATCAAAATCAGCTAGTAGACAAGCTTCTCTTTCAAAATCCAACTGCAAATCATGAGAAGCTTCATCTTTGAGCATCTTAACAGCAACAATGGTGAACTCTTCATCAGGAACAAGTCCAGGAGCTTTGGCTTGAAAAACTCTTCCAAAAGCACCCTGTCCCAAATCACGAATATAAATTATATTATTTCTAGGGAATTCCAATTTTTCTAGTTTTGGGTTTAGTTGAGCCCCAGTAGTATGATAAGCTAAGTTGCTAGGTAATTTATCTAAGTCAATATCTACATTTTGGACATTTCTTCGATTAGATATATTGCATTTTGAGTAGTGGTTTTTTAAGAAGCTGTGGCACAGTAATGCTATTAGTGCTATACCTAAAATACATCCAAGGCCCCCTATAGACAAGTACAAAACAAAAGTTGGTGTGAAGTAGTTTTCCATAACAATTATTGGTCCATTTCTATTGTCAAATTCTTCACTAAAATTGGCACAAAGTGGTATGTCACAGTGCTCCCAACGAACATTAGCATCCATTGTATAACACCACGGCTTGCGTTCCTCTCCACCAGCATTTCTGCAGAAATTTGTAGAATTCTGAACTTCAGGGAATACTAGAGGCGGCCTAGTATGCTGATGAGGGAACTGAGACTCCCAAGCTTGACAAGCTAATCCTGTTTCTGTTACATTCATGGTTCCCTGATAATAGCGCCCATTGCCTTTAACACAAGTATTAGTAACCTGACTTAAATCCATATCCGTAATACCAGCATTATTGCAAGTAACTTGTGAACCTTTTCCAGAAAGTTTAGGCAGTTTTTCGCATTCCGGAAATCGAAAGTGTCCACGAGATTCAAAGAAAACACCACGACGTTTTTGCTCCTCAATAACAACCCAATCATTGTAACAAAATTGCATTTTAACAGCCATACAGTCTTCGTAACAAATAGGTAACGCAGTATAACCTATTTCATCTTTGTGGATGCATTTAGGAAAAGCATAGGCACACAATAATTTCTCAGCTGTACTTTTGCACGGTTCTTTGAGAGTAGATATCATTTCTTTCCATAATCCCGCAGTAATCTTTTCATTATCCAAGCCACCTGTATTGTTATACCACACGTAACCGGTAGAATAACTTCTGCATATTTGTCCATTGTATGGACCACAATAAAGATGCACAGATTTTGTATGAATAAGCACAACAAATAATATATATTGAACGTACATTGTCTTAATAAAATAACACTAGTAGATAAACGCATTTAAGTCTAAATGCTTGCATTTCATTTAAGTGTATTATGGTTATTCGTTTAACACAAAACAGATTACTGAATAAACAATGGCGTAGCCATTATTTATTATTGATTTTACTTTTCAAAAAATAGATGGACTACACTGTAGGATAAAAGTACCCGTTCGGATTCCTACGGGTATAAATAAAATTTTCATAAAGTTATTTCGGATACGCTTCAATAGTACAAAATTATTTCGTAAAATACTTGATGAATCAGAATAATCTACACGTATTTTATAATATATTGATAAAAAAATATTATATTTATCTTAAAAGCAAATAAAATGCTGAATAGACTTAAATTTCGTTCTAAATAAAACACAGCTTACAGATGTGGGAAAAGAAATGTTTAACATGGCAACATTTTTATATTAGTATATTGGCAACAAATGTATTGTTTTGCTTTTAGTCTACGGATCTACTCTGTGCATTGACCAAAACTAAGGATAACATAATTTTAACTTACCTAGCGTATTTTGAAATATGAAATGGCTGCGATTGAGAAAGTGAAAGTAGTCGTTCTGGGTGATTCAGGTAAACTTAATTACTTTTCTACCACTTTCTGGTTTTATTGTTCCCTATACAGTGAAAATCTCACAAAATTTATATATTTGACTTTGACTTGCCATGTGCCAACATGACAAACGGAATAGCCATGACAGTTGTAAGTATAGACAATATTTGAATTTTTAATTCAAGATGGCTAGGCATCATTTTGCCGGCAGTTGTCAGTTTATATATATATATATATAGTGTGCATTAAAGTTGTTTATAGAAATAAATATTTAAAAAAAGACTGAGTTTGAAGTAAGGTCACTTATTGTGGATGTTACCTCAAAGTGGGAACCGCGTGGAAGTCAAGCTGTCATGGTACATTGCTAGCAATGAGGTCACTAGTTCTCATTACTAATAATCTTCTCCGAATATAAACTTTGTGTTAATGATTGCTGTAGGTATCTGTTTTTATTGGTCTGGGTATTTTACAGTTTATTTCCAAAATTCATTTGAGAACGTCGGGCCTTGGCGATTTACGACCCCGACTTGTATTTTGAAATTTTGTGTTTCAATGTATATTTCTGACTGATCATCTGGTGAAAGAAACACCAATAACTAACATAAAATTAATCCAAGAGACGACGGTAGTCTCATACTCTGCCACATCATCTTCATCATCGTTATCATCAGCCCACTGCCGTCCATTGCTGAACATAGACCTCTCCCAAGGCACATTATTGGGACCTTCAGCTCTTCACGTCCAATGTTGCTGCAGGAACGGGAGAAGGTTCCCGCCGCCTATAACGGGGCCCCCATCTGGGTGGGGGCCCTTGGTAGGGAAAATGTGGCCTGTCTCAACAAAAGGCTACCGCACCATATCCGGGGAAGCGGCGGGTCTGCTGGCGGGGTCTCCTCCGTGGGACTTGGTAGCGGAGCTCCAAGACTGGCGCGCGGACGTGGCGGGGACTTGGTTCATACTCGCGCGGACATCATCTTCATCATCGATCCTCAGGATCATGGAGAGAAAGCTGGCCAGTCCATCGGCCGTGAGGACCCATGTCCGTCCCATCCTCAAAAGATGGATGAATAGGAGACCTCTCCCAAGGCACATTATTGGGACCTTCAGCTCTTCACGTCGAGTTAGTGTCCGCTACTCTACGTATGTCGTTGGTCCATGTTGCTGCAGGACGTCCTATGCTACGTTTGCCAGTTCGTGGTTTCCACTCTAGTACACGTCTACACTAACGCCCATCGGTTTTACTACATATATGACCAGCCCACTTCAACTTACAGATTCGTACAGCTATGTCGGTGATCTTAGTTCTCTGTCGAATTACTTCATTTCGGATTTGATGCCTTAGAAAAAATTTAATCATTGATCTTACCATAACTCGTTGAGTGACTTTGAGTAGGTGAACCAATTGTGTTGTTAGTGTCCATGTATCGGCACCGTAATTCATAACGGGTAGGACGCACTGGTTTTTTTCAAGCTTTTTGGAAGCGACGACGAGAAGACTTGACGAAGTTTCTTAACCGTTTTAGTACCATAAATTTTTTCCCAATATATGTGAAATATGCCAAGAATAATTTTTTGTGAAATTTTGGAGTAAGAGAAAAATAATGAGTAACATTTGTAATAATGTTTCAATTTTTAAAATTTATCAATATCATTTTCTAGTTGGTTATTCATTTGCTAATAAATTTATCCAAAAATGAGATAATTTTATATTTACAAAACTTTGAACATAGTTTAACATAACTTCCGCTGTCGGAACTCAAAAACACACTAACTGTCCTGACTGACGCGTGAGTCGCTACCGCGCATCTGGCACTTTTAGATAAAACGCACAGGCGCGCGATCGCGCGTCTTGGCACTAAGACGGTTAAAAGCTGCCTAGATCAGCTGTATCCGCCTCTTGGCCTCTGTCTCAAAATTGTTTTTACGTAGTTGGATCGTTAGCCCTAGATAAATATTCTCTTTCTTGAACAATTTCGAGCAGAACTCCATTAATGGCAACATATTCTTCAATGGTTCCGGACTAATGCGATCACAGAACATGATCTTGGTTTTGTCCAAATTTAATCGGAGACCAATGTATTGAGGCGACTCAGCCAGGCCATCCAGCATCTGTTGTAGGTCCTGTAGTGATTCAGCCATCATAACAATGTTATCAGCTAATAGTAAGCGAGAGATGTTCTCGCCGTTGATATTAATGCTTTAATTTCCCAATTCAGCATCCTAAACATACCCTCCAGCGCGGGTGTAAATAACTTAGAGGATATTACATCCCCTTGTCTTACGCTACGTCTCAGGTTGATTAAATATAAATAATAATCTGCGAAGTGTGTGCACGTCATTGATGTCGATAATTGACAAGGCATCTGAGGAGCCCATTTGGTCTAACAGTTGTGATGATAACATTACGATATAGTGAAATCACTGCAAAAGATTGGATTATCTTTTAATCATGTCAATAAATTTTTTATAGACTTGTACTTTATTGGATTATTTTACACGTTTTTTAATAATATAAGATTTAATAGTAATTTAAAAATCTTCCAATTCTCTAGAATTGTTTTTATATGTATATTAGATTTTTTTTTTCGTTACAAATAATATTAATTACTTTCTATGTGTATTATAGGTGTAGGAAAAACTTCGCTTAATTACCTCATTGCGCATAACAAGCCCCTTCTTTCACCGGGTTGGACTGTTGGCTGTTCTGTAGAAGTTAAGTTGCATAGGTACAGAGAAGGAACCCAAGCGCAGAATACATTTTTTGTAGAGCTTTGGGATGTGGGTGGTTCCAATGGACATCGAAATACGAGAGATGTATTTTATCAACCAACACATGGTAACTATACTATATAATAAATTAAATTCATGTTACATATTAATTTTGTTAACACTAATTTAATATGGTTGGAGGAGGAATTTTATATTTTTTCTAACTATTCTAATACTGTTAGCCATAGCGGGCCTTTATATTTTTATATACCGGACAAAAAGAGCATTAGTACACGGATCCCCAAACTCACAGCCGGACGAACTTCTGCCTGACGGATACGACTTCAGTCTGAGGGACTGCTAGTGACTCGGAATTCCACCCACGCCGCACTGTGGCTATTTATTTATTTCTATAGCCATTTTTTTCTATTCGGTTTTCTTGGCCCGCATGGCTAAGAGACGTGTTCGAAGTTGTCCGATCTATTGCAAATTTAAAATTATAAGAAAGTGCTCATGTAGATTCTCTAATTTATTTTATGGTATTTCTCTAATTTCTCTGATATGAAATGTGGAATTTATTATTTAACGATTCTATGTAATAATATTTTTAGGTATAATCTTGGTACATGATTTAACAAATAGAAAAAGTCAAGTGAACTTGCAAAAATGGCTCTCAGAGATTCTAAATCAAGATAAATCCAATCCAACTCTACAGCACGTTGATGTGGATCCGGAACAGTTTTTAGGATCTACCCAAGTATGTAAACTCAAAGTTCTTGTAATATAGGTACTTGCAACACACAATCTTGTATTAAGTTTATTACCCAACACATTTAAATGCAGCAGAACCCGCGATACTGTATCTGTTTAATTATTCTGTTCTTTAAAGTTTACAAAATCTTCATTTAAAATTTTGTAAACTTCATAAAAATTTGTATAAGTTTACCGCAATTCATTTAATGCTAATTATTATTATCAGAATTTTTTTGTCTGTTAATGTGTGCGCTATTCTCAGAAACCGCATCAATCTATTGTCGTGAGTTTTTTAATGGATTATAATAGAATGGTGCTGCCTGCGTCAACGGTTTACGCTGACGAGGCAACACTGGAAGATAATATTATAAATATAAGGTTAGCCTATCGTGGCAAATTCATCTGGAATTTATCACGATAGTTACCGGGGAGAGGAACGTGGATGTCAACTTGACATAGTACATTGCTAGCAATGAGGATTATCAGTCCATATTATTAACTATCCCATTCCCATTTTATATGGGATTATTATCAATATTATAATTGAAAATATTAAAAAAAAAATCTACCAGAATGTTACAAACAAAACAAATTTCCTCAAAAATTAGTATTGATTAGAAATAGGTTTATTAATAATTATAATATTTGACGTACATACCTGCTTTTTATGTCGGTGCTGTCTGTTTTTCTAGCCTTCATATTTTTACCTATATATGATAATTTAAAAAAAACCATTTAACTTTTTATTAATTAATTAAGACATCTATAATTTCAGATTCCTATATTAGTAATAGGAACAAAGTTTGATTTAGCAGAGGAAAAGCAAAGAAAGAATCAGTATAGAAGGTTAGCTAGTAGTATAGCCGAGCAGTGTGGGGCTGATGAAATATTTGTAAACTGCCATCAAGCAAGGTATTTAAATATTTTTAGTACTTCAATTAAATATATCCATTGATTATTTTACTTATAATTTCTAATTTTGCAGGTCGCTCGCTCCGGGTACCAGCAATTCTGTCAAATTAACAAGATTTTTCGATAAGGTAAGAAAAAATAAGTTTATGTAAACGTATTGTACTACGTAACATTTCCCTCTATCCTAACGTGGATCGGTTTTGATTTTTATGCTGCCTCCGGTCCTGTTTCCTGAAAACAGATAATATACTTATATTTATAGGCATATTGTCTATTTTCAGATCTGTCCGTGAAATTACAAAATAGATTATATTCTCTTGTGCAAGTACAATAGTAACGAACAAAAATTAAAATACAGTCTATTATAAAGAGTAAAGATTTAACTGTTTGTATTGAATAAGCTCTAGACCAACTGAACTGATTTGAAATAAAAATGATAAAAACACCCTATTTTATTGAAGAGAATATTTTCAAAAACGGATGGAATGAGTGAAACTGTACTACGTGTTGTAAAAAAATGTAAAAAAATCCTTATATCGCGTATGCTCCAAAAATATTGACTATAGAGCAAAGTGATGTACTACAGTTTTGTACATCAATATGTATAAAAAATAGTCTGCGATACCATATCTCAAACTGTTACATTTATATATAATAGTTACTTTTTCATGTTAAAATATGCAACAGTAATGTCGGGTATAGTAATAGAATAAAGAAAAACGATTTGATTTGTTTTGTTTGCATTGAATAGGTTACGTGACTATGAGACCGTATTGAAAAATTGTATTAAAATTAGAATGGATTTAAAAATAATAAGAAAATATTAATTCAAATAATAATATCCAAACATTCTTCATATTATATTCTTTTTTAGTACAAAATGAAGGGTATTTGTATATGTGTGGCATTATCATAATATGTACGTTACTACAAAATTCATAGTTTATTGATTTTATTACAAATGAGCATAATATAACTTCTATACATTTTACATAGTTTTAGTATAATGCTAGTTGCGACTACGTAAAATAGAAATAAAATTTTGCATAAGAATTTCACAAAAGAAAAATTAGGTTTTGGTTCTAAAATTAAGTTTCAGGGGAACTCTTTGAATAAATAGTTAACAAACTTTGGCAATCAATTATTTTATAACTATTTATTATATAAATATTTATTTGTCCGCAGGTGATAGAAAGACGATACTACTCTAGAATTAGTCCATTTCCGGATAAGAAAAGAATTCCTTCGTACATGATTGCTACTTCTACACCTCTTTCTAGTAATAAACCGGCGCAGTACCTTAGTCCAAGATTCTATCATATGGATTGACAATTTAATTTTAAATAATTGAATATAAACTTCCTTAAGTACCTACTAAGTAATGAAAGAATGAATATGAGGTGTCGAGAAAATTGTTCAGTATAATGTTGGATAACAATAATTATAACGTATTCTTGTCTAAGTATATGTACCTATAATGTTATCAAAATAAAAATGGGAACGTCAAAGTACGATATTCCTTAATTTTCAAGAAAAAATATATTGTAATATAATAAATATTTTTTTATAATTGTAAAATATTTACATCAGAGTTACTTCTAATTATGAATTATCTTATGACAATACCTTTTATGTGACATATTACATATGTGGTAAATTTTTTATCATTACATCAGTTGATCATAATTATTGATACCTAGGTTAGAGCGATAAAAGTTGTTGTCATAATTTCATAATATCCACTATTGTTAGTTACGTTTGTTATGATGTTTATCAAATAGAAATATAAACAAACCTTTATCTAATTTATGTAACCTAATGTTTTAGGGTTATTCTCGTTTATTTAAGTTATACATAAAAACCTACTTCTAAACTTGTTTACAATTATGGAATACAGATAGGCAGTTTAAATGAAATAAAAATTCTTATATATGTATGATAGTAGTATTTAATATTCAGTCAAAATACCACCATTACTTATAAGGCCCAAACTCGCACATAATCTACTTGAAGGGATGCATCCTGTCCATCGTTTACATTCAGGTTCCATGTTGGCAGCCAACTAGCTTGTGCATTCCAAAAGTCAGTGACGGCCTGGAATGAAATCAATAAATGTATAAGTAGGTATCGGTAGGAACTGTGTATACTTAATATAATCACAACTTCTTTAGTTTTGTAGTTTATTGGCGAATAATAATGGAATAACTCGCGAATAATAAAAAGAAAAGTTCGAAGATGATCTGGTTACTTTAGCTTACTCTTCACTGTACGAATATGTGCTAGACTTTGTTATGCTTCCGTCCGAACGTCTCTGGGTCTTCAACTGCGTTGAAGTTTTAATAATTAAAATAAATTAATAATCGTAGGTATAACTCTCATGGATTTAGTTGGTTGATTGGTTGGTTTTTTATGCGAAGCGTGTTTTAAACTGTTTGATGAACTTTTAGTATAGGAGTCTGGTACAACTGCAATAATAATATTAACATATTCTATGATGTTTATTTTATTATTATTTTATATTCGGTATACCTTTTTAAATCTTAAAATGTAAATAAAATGAGTAGATATCTATTAATACATTTTCATGATTACTCGAGAACATATTTGTCGAAAACAAATCATATTTAATAATATACTGACCGTAGGCGATCCATTTGACCAAGGCTTAGGAGTAGGGTTAACGACGCCATCAGGGAAGAAACCATTTGTACCTCCGACTGCGACGTTCATAATTATGTAGAACTAAAATTACAGAAAAAATATGTAATATTATCTTATCTATGATATTAGCAACATTTTTATCTCCGCTTAATATTTATTAGTATTTAACTATTGGAGATGATTGATTCTACCTTTTCATCAAATGGTGCCATCTTGCTTCCATATCGCCATGGGTTCAGGATGTTAGGGTTGCTATTAAAGCCGCCGTACTCCCAAAAGCCACCATTACCAGGAGTAACATTTCCCAGTTCCACATCGTCTATACTGAACTTGATGAAGTCTATAAATAATATTGAAAGTTTGTGTAATACGATTTATCACAACTCATTCTTCAAATAGTATACAAAAGAGTAATTAAAGTAAAGGTCGTAGTAGATACGTATTTGGAGTGTCAAGAAGTAAAATAGCCGAATCCTAAAATGATATATAAATACAATACGAAAATGTACTGTCTGTTACCATTTTTCGACTAACCAGGATGAACGGATTTTAAATCAAACATAACGTGAAGACAGCTTTTATCATGAGGACGGACATGGGAAATTTTTTATCTTGACGACCTCGGTGGACTAGCGATTTAGCAAGTACTTCCGATGATCGCAGAACATTTGTATCCATGATTATGATTGATTGTATCGGCTAGGTGTTTTTATTGGTTATTATGTATTAATAAAAAAATGTATTTTTATTAGTTGCCATAGTACCCATAACACAAACTCTACTTAGCGTAGGACTAGATGGCGCTTTATTATTGAAATTTAGGTTGTATACTACCAACCAAAAATGAAACATCAGTTCTCTCTGCTTACCTTTCTGTGTTAATAATTACTGAATTTCATTGTAAATTACTTACCGGGAGTCCACTCTAGTTGATAACGATGAAAATTGTTGTCGTAACCAGCATTATCTCTTCTGACCCAGTGGGCTCGGTCCCAACCATTCAGATCGGGATAAGGCCCGTAGTGCAACGTAGATCCGGCTTCTTGAGTTCCGATATGTAATCCGTTGCTGAACATATTCCGATTACCACGGGACTCTACCAAATCTATTTCACCTGACGATGGCCAGCTGCCGTAGGCATTGAATGCTGGCATCAGCCAAATAGCTGAAAGAGTACAACATGCCTTACATATAATAGATATTCTTACGTACGTGGCTGATGCTATGTTAGTTTTCGAAATTAAACTGTATAAAGTCACTATCGTGGGTTGCGTTTTGGTTTGAAGGGTGAGATTTAGCTCTCAAATTATTTACAGAGAATCGGGCATGACACCGTAGTGCTTTAGAATGGCAAGCCATGAACATCACATTAAAACGTCAAGTTAGGTGGTGCTTTTGGTATTAGGTGTATAGGCCCTAATTTAATATATTATAGGTAGTAGACAGTAGGTAGTAGTAGGTAGGTAGATAGGTACGTTTATAGGCACTTTCCACCAAATGGACAATCGCTGCTTGTTTGCCATTTTAGTTAAATATAAATATGCTTCGACATTTTTCTGTAAAAGTAAAATAACTTGTAGTAACATAAGAAGAATTTCCTATAATATGTAATGCTGAAAAAACAGGTTCCGCGAAAAGTAACAAACTTATGTATTCAGTAAACTTTAAATGAGAATCATCGTGATTGCAAATAGGTTGTGGTTCGACTATAGTCGTACAGCATATCTGCCTAAATATTCATTAGTAACTAGGAGATAATGCAAATCTCACCATCATCATCATCTTAGTTCAGGAATAAATATTACCTGGCCATAACCAATCGCCAGCAGGCATCTTTGCTCGGACCTCTACTCGACCATAACGGAAGCTGAAGGAATTCACAGTACGTATGCGCGCACTTTTAATTGGATTTAGTATGTTTGTCGGAGTACCCTGTCGCTCGCAGCCCCACCACTGCGGGTTCGTACACCTATTTGATTGTTATGTTTTAATTACAGATAAAAAATATTATATAGGTAGGTTTAATATTAATTAATGTGCAATATAATTAATTAAAACATTACTTTGATTTTCAGGAGGTTACTACAAGGCAATTAAATCATTAGATACTTATATTTTAAGGAGATTACTACCAAACATTTGGAGTAAAAATTGTAGCACAAAATACAATTAATTTTCCACTCCTAATGGAGACACATGTAAGCACATATGTTTCCGTATTTTTAAATAATAAATTGTATTGTGTTGTTATATATGTTAAGTACAAGAAATTTGTAACCTGTCAGCCGGTGCTCCGCCTTCGATGTTTAAATGACCACTGCTAAGGTATGGCTGACCATACTGGTTGGAAGTCAAAGATGGCCGAATAAACAGAGTTCCGCTATGGGTGAATGAATTTGTCCGGTTGTTACTGTAGTATTGAAATTCCCAATTCTAAAATTAAAAGTAAATTAGGTGAGTTAAAAAGTCAAAAACTTTTTGTACTGCATATCGTCAATCTTCCGTACAAACATCTTTACATACAAATACTTAAATACAAAGCAATATGTATTATGTATGTATTTACAAATCAATTGTTATTACTGTTTGACACTTTTTTTATCGTAATTATTTAAGGTTCAATTGTATGTGTATATCGCTACCAAACAACTATTATATTTCTGAAAGATTTTTATATTTACTAACAATATTACCATAATGTTATTTAGATAGATTAAATAGATTTTATTTCCTTTATGGGATATACGTTTATATTACGTACCTAATGAATATTTTGTGTAATATTGAATGTATTGTAATTACTTAAGAATTATATACAACCGATATTTAGAATTGCTTTTTTTAAATAATAAATAGTTATTAGGTACTTACGCCACCACCTGCAAGAGTGTTTTCATGCTGCCATTTTTCTAAGTCAAAGTGATCAAATTCGTCAGAGAATACCAGGTCTCCTGAGCATACTGTGGCTGGTGCATGAGTGCCACTCACTGTGGTGGCACTAGGGGTGCAAGCCGCACTTAAGGATACCAACGTCGCCACGACTAACACTAACGACAACATCCTGTAGCAGGTTTAATACCATCAACTGTTATTAGCCAGTTTACTTTGCAGATTTCGTTTACTTACGAAATTAAAATATCTGCGTTTATTGCGTACTATTGTCTCTAAAACTAGACGTTTTACGAAGTTCTCTTTGTCTGAAATAAATTAGAATTAGCAGTAATGATAATCACATAGTACTCATAAGCTGTATAACGTAATAAAAATCAATATCATCGATACATTCACCACCCAATTTTTATTTGGGTAAGTATATCTAGTAAATATATATATTTTAGCAACTTTAACGTGGTTTTATACTGTATTTTATAAGAAAAAAACTCTAGTCGCTTGGTAGTTTAGTACGAAAAGTCCAGTGCTCGGAGTAACTATTGTGTGGTAGATTCTAACCACAAGTATAAAACGATCGATATATCTAAATCAAAGAATGATTTAAACAAGTAGTCGTAAAAAAACTGGAATGTCATATGTAAACGCAGTGCAGGGTGACTTCAGCACTGCTAGAATGATGGCAGGGAATCCGCCGTTTTTAAGAATTATGAACATTCATTAAGATTTCAATACAATAATTTGATATAAACAAACTACGTGTCGTATGTTAATTTATAAAACTTATAGATGAGAACATACTGATAATATTCGAACTATTTACTATCTATTTAGATTTATCACGATTACAGTTACACGGTTCACTTAATTAAATTTTTAGTTCTAAGTTTAATAGATTGAATAAAAAAAGCTTACCTTCTCTAACATTCAGAACCTGTTGACTGTAAAGGCTAAGATGGTTAGTAGCTATATATAGCGAAGTGCAACTTTTATGTTTTTTATCATGGTAACAAAAAAGTAATTAGGTTTTTATCACTGTAAATCACAGTACCTACAATATTATCAGTATTGAGTATATATTTTAGATATACATAATTTTAAATAAGTACTATATTAAAATTTAAAAACACTACATATTTGTGTCCACTGCGATATGTCTGTATATTGATGAGTTATCTCGAAGAAAATTATTCCCGAAGCTACAGTTAAACAAACAGGTAGTCTGTTGATGTTGTTGATGATGATGATGTCATTCATCATCATCATTAATTTAGTGTATATATTTCGTAATAGATAAAAAGGCATAGGTACCTACGAGTATAAGATGCTACCTACATACGTGTATAAATTATCTACTTGCATTTGTACAATGCTAATAATCAGCCAGTCGTACCAACATTTTAAAAAGCGAAATACTGTTATTTATAGGATACCTAAGTACCTATCTGCAGTATAATTTTTAGGCAACAATGAGATTTCAAATAAATGGACAGATATCTTAAGAGACATTCTACTGTTTACTATTATTTACCGGTGCTGCGAAATAAAGAAAGAAAATGTTGTCTTTGTATAAGCAATAAAACTATATTCACACTGACAAAGCCATGGATAAATAGTAGTATATATTAGATAAATATATTTATCTATTATTATTAACTACTGTTAATAAATTTTAATGATTTTATATTGATATTACTTAAATGTGTACGGTCGGTACCTACGCAGATTATATTTAGATAGGTAGGTATAGATCTTTGTACCGTAGATACCTAAATATTATAGCAATTGCTATAAACAAAAAATAAAATGTATAGGTAGAACAGCAACAACAATTACTACTTTCATGCTTAGTTTATTTAGGTTTAATTATTATTATACAATTTTTATTTCTAAGGTCCTTGTTTACTACTTCAGGGTTACTATTATTGGTATTTAAAATCTTTTCGTCGTTCATCCATACTAATATTTTACATGCAAAAGAGTGTCGTCTGTCTGTCTGTTTATCTGTTTTTTTGGTAACTTTCCACAACTAAACGGATATTAATATTTGTCATGAAGACTAATTGTATTTTTTTAGTGTTTAAATGATTTACATTAATTTCTTTAATTCCGCTACAATTAACATGTGTTAGACCACACAAATTTAACTGATAAACTTTACTAACGTTACGACCTACGATCTATTAATGGTAATAAATTCCATTAAAAATGTGAAATGTACTTGCGCAAAATAACACCTAATTCCATAACCTATATTTCTTTACCCAAGGTATTTATTATTAGCTACTCGCCCCGGCTTCGCACGAGTGTACATGTTTTATATATATAAATGTTCCTCTTGAATCACTCTATCTATTACGAAAAACCGCTTCAAAATCCGTTGGGTAGTTTTAAGTATACATAGGGGTAGACATCGACAGCGACTTTGTTCTATATAATGTATCTCTATATATACATATATATATAATAATAATGATTTTTCGAGATTAATCTCTCTGTTATTATTAATAATTATATTATTGTTAGTGTACAATATTTATAATTAACAATTACGTACTATATACAATTACATACGTGTATATAACTTACCTATATTGAGTTTCATTCCTCGATTAATTTTAATTTAATAGATACCAAACGTTCTTAGACACACACTGCTCGTATACTGTCATCATTATTTAAACATTACACCTAATAGATGACTATTTACCAGACAATGGAACTAATTACTCATAGATGACTAATCTGAATTTGTCACCTTACTGTTTACAGTTACAGTCCAGTAAACCCCACGTAACCTTAAGTATCACATAAAGTAGGTATACCTATTTCTAAATTGAGTTGACTGACTTTAAGTTTCTATATAAAAGTTAAATTGCATAGTCTGTTAATCAGTATGTTTGGTAGCATTTTTATACTAAACACTTGCACGGATCTTAATTAAAATTAACCTGAACATAGGTTGTATCACGTGGACGGATGTTGGCTCTATTTTATTTAAAAAAATAGTCTGAAAAGGGTGAAATGATGAATGAAAGTGTATACGCAAATCACTAATTTCTCAAGTAAGAAGTTTGAGTTTTACTCAATAAAAACTCTTTGAAGTCTTAAATCTAGGCAAACGAAATCGTGGTCATCAGCTAATTCATAAGGTTAAATGTTCTTTTTTGATGAATAGATGCTATTTATCAGCGGTCAGAGACCTAAAGATTGCTTTTGGTTTGATTAGTAAATCTAATCATAAATTGTTTGAAAATCGGCTGCCAAAGTAAGTAATGTATGATTTTCAGTTGTAGATATATATATATATATTTCCTGTTCTTTTTTGGCGTTAAATTCTATGTTGGTAACGATTGATATTATATAAAATTTATATTTTTCTTCGTATCTAATATTGGTACTTTTTTAGATTATTAAGTATGTATGTACCTACATAGGTACTTGGCTATTTATTTGAAGCTAATTATTGAATGCAGAATGTAACAAAATGACTTAGAAATAATTGTTTGAAAAATACATCTTTAAACAATAACATGAAGTAAGTCGCTTCCGCTGTCTATTCGCTTTTAAATTAGTCAAAAGAGTTTAATATAGTTTTTAGTGGATGATTGAGTGATTCAAGAGGAAGGTTTATATGTATAATACATATTGACTCGTGCGAAGCCGAAGAGGGTAGCTAGTTTTAATAATATAATATAATATTATAAAGACGAAAGTTTGCGACTATGGATGTTTGTTACTCTTTCACTCAAAAACTACTAAACGAATTTTGATGAAACGTTACAGTAATATAGCTTATGCATCAGAATAACACATAGACTATATTTTTATTGAAATTTATATACTGAAATTTAACGCGGGTGAAACCGCGGGCACAGCTAGTAACTTATAAAAATTTCAAAGTGGTCTGCTACAAAATTATTCGAGTTTGTTTGTTCCTTCTTTTATTTTTAGAGAGAAAAAAATACTTTAGTTACGCGCCTATTTACTAAATAATTATTGCATAAAAATATGTACGTATTTACATTAGTTGTTACCGATAACTTTATCGCTAACAACTGTGTCAACAACTGTAACGTACTCAGAAGAATTCAAACGTGTTGATTTTATTAAATACAATTTCAAATGACTTTTATTAATTCTTGCTATTTCTGTTTTATCTGTTTCTACCTACTTCTACCGCCAACCAGAGAAAAAGGAATCTTCAGTCAATATCAATATCCAATACTAAGTAACCTTTAATTATTACTAGAATGAATCATCAGTATATATAATACGATATAGATACGCAATTAATAGTAGGTACAAAATCCCTATGATATAATTAAAAACCTACGTTAACGTCACTCCTGTTAAATACAATAGAATTCCTGGTATTTTGCTTACTAGAATTCTGTGAACTCCGGACAAAAAGATAGATATCTGTTATTGATTATATTTGTGACAATAATAAACCTCCTGCGAAGATAATCAATAATTATCAATTATATTTATCATTATCTACTAATTAATTACGTTAGTTATACTTGTTATTAGCTACCATTTATAAATTGAAAATATATTTTGAAGTATCTATCTAAAATATAATGTTTTTAATATATACCTATATATAATTGTTGTAGGTATATCTCATTATTGAATTGAATTTAGTAAATACCTATATTTATTCAAATCAATTTAATAATGAGCTAGTCTAAACCTACCTGATTATTGAGTTGATTTTATTGATTTTTGTCTGATCCTGTACCTACCGTCGCCAACATAATTTTACATTTATTATCAATAAACTACACGAAAATATAGAATGAACATTTTGTAATTACCATTTTATAACTAACTAACAGATAACATAATATTACATACTAATAGTAAATTCGATAAAATATTTTTCTTCATTATCATCATTTCTTGTGTATTAATACTAATTAAAAATTATATATTTCGTAATTTTAAATAGAGAAAGATAAGTATATATTTTTAAGATCACTAGTATTCTGACGACTTAGGCGTAATGCCGGGTTAGTCAGGGAGAGAAACACCTCAATGCCTACAATATTCACAATTACCTATCTCTTATTTGTTTTTATAATAATATCAACACTTTCGCTCCAAAACTCCCGCTGCTTACGTTCAATCATCCGTCCTCCACTTGTCAATGTCACATAGATTACTGTGGCTCTGGCCTCTGACGTTCCGTTTCAGGTTACATGATATTGACTTTACCATTTTTAATTAATGGTGCGTCACACGATAGTTAACAGTCGGCCATCCTGCAATAGTGTCTGGCCCAGACACATAGGTAACTTATGAGCGTAGTCATGCTTATCAAAGGATATAGTGTCTACAGGATCATATAACAAATACTAAACTAAATAAACTAAAGATACACATTACTTTCATAACATTGACTATCTTAGTATACTGTCAAAGGTTTACAATCTAAACTCAATACTAACAGAGCTAAGTTTCGGCATGCATTCAGAAATGCACAAAATATAACATAACATATATTAATTTACATAATCCAAATCACCCAAAAACATGAACAACCTTTTAGAGTAACAAACATTTATTTGGCGGTGATTGACTTCTATGAGTCAGACTGTAACATATCACCATCAGAATGTAAGTTTCCGATCTTATGAACATTGCATTTGTTTTTATACCTCCAAAATAGAACTTGACATTTCTCATCATGAATATTTTAACGGATAAATTTAACATATCACATTACAAAAGGTAAAACTTAATTACCTACATATATAGAGAAAAAAATATAAAGAGAAAGTAATATTCTCGTGACATAAAATTAGAACAAAATCGCTGCCTGCCTTCACCTAACCAATAGAAAATAACAGGTCAATATTATTCAAGTGGTTCTAATACCCTCAATACTACTACTACTATTTTACTTCGACGATACTCTTGATTTACCAGAGAATTATTTTAATATAACATAATTCATTGAATTTCAGTTATGATTTACTTAATAATACCATCAGCTCACTGGTCAAGTAATCTATTGCACCCTTTGAACCCTGTACATTTAGGGGACTATAAAAGATTGTAGATACTGATCTCAATTTTCTTTACAACACCAGTTTAACATAAACCAAAACCCAATGTTCAATATGTGATTAATGTGAAATAGAAATAATCTTTATTCAAATAAACTTAATATAAGCACTTTTGAGTAGTCAAGTTTTTTGAATCTATCGCTCATTCGGAACGCAGATTCATCACAAGAAGAACAAACAAGAACCCTGTGTGTTGCTCTTTTAAATAAATATTGATTTACTTATATTTAATTAACAACAAGGATTAGGCATGCGGCAATCAACATAAAAACCGCTACGCACTTAATCTCCGTTCAATCAGACAACATTGACAGCGCTATGAATTTCAAGTTAGATATTTTCTAAAAAACACTGATTTATAAATGATGACATTTATAAATTCTTCAATTCTATAATAAGCCTCTTTTTTTTTTTACAAAGAAAATATTTTATGACACATTTGATTTCTTTTTCTGGCAAATTGAGTACAGACTCTGGGAGTTCGTTGCAAAACCTTGCGCAATTTCCATAAAACGAATTACTAACTTTCGTCAAACGAACGTGAGTTTAGTAAGCCTACTATTCACTTTATATTTAATCGATGGTATTCGTAGCCACTTCGGCCATCCAACGTTATCGAAGGGCCTCATTCGATATTATCATAACAGTTAACATCGGGTAATATAATAAAATTAAAATCATATAAAATTTAGTTTGAGATAATTTACATACTTAAAATATGAAAGTTGCCACTGACAACTACACATTACATTTCAACATCATGACTTCAGTCTTTGTTATATTTTTCCGCCTTAAGTTGTATCACTTAATTTTTCACACCAGGTACTAGTCAGCATCTCTGCAAACACGGCTGCCTAGCTAATTAGTGAAATACCTGTTAAAACAAAACATTAAAAAAATGCCACCGCTTGCCCACTATGAGCTACGGTCTCAACAGATCTGGATTTTATTAGACTCAGCCACCGCTTGCCCGCACAAGGAGCTACGGCCTCAAACTGGTCAAATTCTCATTAGACTCAGCCACCGCTTGCCCACACAAGGAGCTACGGCCTCAAACTGGTCAGATTCTCATTAGACTCAGCCACCGCTTGCCGCCACAAGGAACTACGGTCTCCAACTGAAACACATCAAATATTTAACAACTGGTCATTTTCTCAATGAGGCATTCACCGCTTGCGCACACAAGAAGTTACGGCCTCCAACTAGTCATATTCTTTATGGTACTATGCTATTTTTACTTCAAGTCAAGTGCTCTACATTGCAACTCAACTATGGGTTATATGTACTCCCATCAAATTTTACTATTACTTTTTATTCTATTACATTTCTTTAAGAACTGGATTTCCTGGTTCCATTTTACTATTTCTCCAACGCTTTAAAGGACATTATAACATTTAATCATAAGTTAATTCAATTTAATTATGTACCAAATTCGAATTATATATCTGGTTGATATATATCTATCAATTTCTGAACGAACTTGCAATATATTACTACCACATACCCTACTCCTATTATTATCTACCAAATCTTGAGTAGCATCAACAAAAAGCGAGTCGTTCGTTGTACGTCGCATTGAGCACACGCGGATCCCCATTTTC